AGAGAGAGCAGTTTTAGTGATCTTATCCTGTCCCTTTATGATATCATTCTTACCCCAGGTATCATCCTAGTAGTCCTTTTCCAAACCCCTATAAACAATTCAGTGTCCTTCCTAAAGTAATGAGCCCAAGACTGAACACAGTGCTCTGAAAGTATCCAATATTTCTGTAGCTACAACCTAAAATCCTGTTTGTTTTACCACTATCAACAGCACACTGCTTGGATGACTTAAGAGATTGATCAACAAGAACACCAAGATCCTTTTCTCCCATCACACTGTTAAGGATATTTCCATCAAAATTATACTTTTAATTTAAATCATGATAACCATTGCATTATCTTGCATTTAAAAGCCATCTGCAATTTATTTACCAAATCACCAATTAATCCAAATCCTTTTCTAAAGCAGCCTTTTCCTCATAGCCAGCAACATTTAAGGCCTTAGTATCATCAGCAAGTTTAAGTAATTTATTGAATGTTCCTTCATTTCTGTTACTGATGTAAATTTAAAAAAAAATAGTAAAGACCCTAACACTGATTCTGAGACACCACACTTATAACATTGATCCAGTTTGACTGAAATCCATTTATGATAACTCTGCTTCTTCTATCTAGTCACTTTTCTATCCAATGAGCCAACTTATCTCTTACACCATAGATATCATTTTTGTAATAGGCCTTTTATGTGGCACCTTGTAAAATGCTTTCTGAAAATCCAGATACATCAGATTCACAGTCTTACCCAAATTCATATAAACAGCAACTTCTAAAGAATCTCAAAAGATCAGTAACGCAAGATTTTCTGCTAACAAAATCATGTTAACTATCCAAGAAAGTTTAAATTTATTAAATAACTATTACAAAACATATTTTATGACTTTCAAAATCTTTTGTCATGACCTCCCTTGAAAAGAGAACTAACATTAGTCATCTTCCAATCTTCTGGCACCTGCTCGCTATCAAAGAACTTTATTCACAGATCAAGCCCTTAAACTCCTTCAAAACCCTTGGGGAAATATTATTTGGCCCAAGAACCTCATTATTTAAACTTCATCATTTTTTGTAACAAGTATTTTATTTGTTAAGATTTGTAGTTTTATGTGACTAATGATAAGCATAACTTCACAAATTACATTACACACACTTGCTAGTCTTTACCTTTTTTACTTCATCAACAACACAAACTCAAAATTTACAGCAGCAAACTAACTGTGTTCAGCGGTAGAAAAACTGACTAAATCATGCATTGATTATTAATTAACTAACTAACAGAAGTCACTTGCTACCTCTAGCTTAACTTGCTCTCTATATCTGACTCAGGAAATTCCAAATATTAAAGTTATCACTTGACATCAAATCTTCTTTTGGCCAAATATTAATACAAATATGCACATTAAAACAAAGCCAGCAACAATTAAAAGGTTAATTTTAGAAATAAACAACATAAAGCTTTTTTCACAATAACTTACAAATATTTAGTTTCTTCTTCATCAATGCATAGAGACAAGTGCAATATATATTAGGTTAATCTTTTGTTTTACCTTCTCTTTAAAAGAAAAGATGACTAGTGAATCTGATACATATAGTAATATCTAACTAAAAGTTGGAATAAATAAACCAGGATTATCTTTCCAATCTTTGCTGTAAGTGTTGCCATCATTGATAACATTTATTTGAGTATATAAATATATATTTATGCATATATATGGGTGGTAGTTTCAGTTCCTAAAAAGTGCCTTACTAGAAGGTGCTAAGGAGGATTAACCTTTTAGCTCAGGTGGTAGATGACTCACCTGGTGTACAGAGATCTTGGGTTTAAATTTGAGATGAGGAGGTAATAAATTTGAAATTATATCATATATATTTTTATAAATATATATGTATTTATTTAGTTGCAAAATTGTATTATTAATTTCAGTATTATTTTCTACAGATAACGACCATATCTTTGTGCTCCACAATCAGTCTCAGCTATTTTTGCCTGTCAGGCCACCTACACCTTTAAAGCTTCCCTGTCTACCTACCAATTCACAAGCAAATGTTACTCTTATGAAAAATAACAACATAGTTTCTACTGGAGATGATGTGATTTTTGATCCAACTCAAGGATTTATTATAAATCGTCCAACCATTTACTATAGTGGAAAATTTATCTGTTTTGGTCAAATGGGTAATCTCAGCAAAGAACTAAATTTTTTTCTTTTTACCTTCGTAAGTACTAAATTTTCTTTAGTACAATATATATATTTATTACTGGGTTAATAAATATTTGATTTTGTCATCATATATATTTACATATATAAACATTCAATCATGAAATATTGGTTTATGTAGAAACTTTAATTTGTGGGATATTTTAAACATGTAATATCACGATGCACTCTTTTTTTGTTTATTATAATGTTTATATAGGTTTCTTAAAAACATTTAGTGAGTATCAAATAATCTTTAACTGTTTAATCTCATGTAATATTTTTTTAGCATTTTTATTTGTTTTTCATTTTATTTCTTTGTGGAGTTCTATTCCTTCAACAATGTATACTGTGTTCCTCCACACTTGATTATTCTACTTTATTTTCTTGACCATACACTAGTGTTGTCCATGTATTACTCAGAAAACTCCTTGTTATTTGATGGGTTAGTTTATATCACCATCTTGACAAATATTTTGGGTTTTGAAAATTATAGTAATTTCATCAAACCTTTCACCATTAAATCTTTGTTTAGTTCTATTGAGAAAAAAAAGACCATTCTTTTAAGTACTTGCTTTTGGTTATTTTTTATATTTTTTTATGGAGAATAATTATTTATCTCTGTTTCTTTATATGTTAAAATTGGAAGTAATTTGGAGTGTTAGAGATTTATATTATTAAATATGCAGAAATGTATTTTAACAAAATAAAATGTTTTAGCAGAAAATTGTTAAATAGAAAGAAGTAAATATGAAAATTCAAACTTTTACCAAGTACTTGTCATACATGCTTGTCCATCTGAACATTTTCACTTATTTCTAAATCATTTAAATATCATTGTAAACAATGTCCTTTAATGAAATTTATTCAGGTTCAGATATGCACTGAAAAACAAGTAAACAAAATTTTTTCAAAGTTTCATAGTTTAATTATATTTTCCACTTTTATTTATATATTATTAAGCAAATAATTACATATTTAAGGTTATACTCTATTTCTTGGTGTTTTTTACCTTCTTAAAAGGTGTCAATGACACATAATTGGCTCATAAGTTACATATAGCTGTTATTTTCTTTTGATTGAAGTAGTTAAATTTGAAGTTGTGAGTACATTTTTTAATAAGAGAAAATGATCTGGTATGGAAAATATGCCTTGTGATATTATACCTTAAACATTGACAATGTTATTTTTATCTTCAGGGCAACCAAACTCTAAGCCACAACCAGAGATTGATAACTCATTGACCAAACAACCAGTTATCAATGGAACATTAAGTTTAATCTGTAAAGTCCGAGTGGCCTTAGATACCTTGATATCAATGGAGTGGGACTACCCTAATAAGGGTAAAAATGTTAGTATCAATAGTTTTTCAGAATAGGTAACTTATTCTGTTTGTTTTATTTAATTTTGCATTTTCCATGTCTAACATTTTGGGTTATTCTGAACAATAAATCTAATAAAATTGTATTGGAACATTAAAGACAAAAGTAATAAATTATTTAAATGATGGAAGTCATTAGATTCAGTTTTTTAATAGAGGAAATGGAAATTTAGACAAAAACTAATGACATATTTATGACAAGTTGCTGACATAAACCATAAGAATTTAAAAAAAAACATAAGAACAAAACTTTTTAGTTTTGCCTCTTTGGTAAATGACTACCAAACAGTAATTGAAATCTTGTTAAAAACATGATGTGGAGTAATGCTTTGTAGTTTTTTTTTTTCAGTTATGAAGCCATGTTATAAGCTATAAAGAATATTAACTTAGCTCCTTCTCAGCAATTTTTTTTTTTATCTAAATAAAAGAGACACATAAAAATTGATATTACTAACGTTGGTAAGTTTCTTAATTCTTTCTCTTTTCTATAATATGTGGTATAAACCATAAACATTTTAATTATAACAGAAATAATAGTGTACAAAATTCAACAAAGTTATAACTCACACCTAGCAACATAAAATTAGAATAGAAAATTCTACTGTGTTTATTTTTACTTATTATTTTAAATAATATTTTATATTATGACTTTCTATGACTATTAGTGTGTTTACTTTAATACTTTGATGTGAGTTAGAATTGATGACATGCTTTAGTGCATGTTAGAAAATGCTTTTCTGCATTATATTTTGTTATGAATATTATATAGATCATGCACTTTAAGTTTTTATAATTACAACCATCTAAAGAGAATTTTTAAAATGTTTGAATATTTATATCTCAGTTAATAAAACTTATACCTTGACAGGATTCTAGGATAACAGAAACAAAACCTACATATACGGTAAAGGAATTGCCATCTAACAGTCACAAAGCTATCACATCTAAATTGATTATTACTTCTGTTCAGCAAAGTGATGAGGGTACTTATAAATGCTCTGTTACTGATCATTTAGGAGCTACTAATTATCATCAAGTTACAATCAAAGTCTATGGTAAGTTAAAAACTATGGTAAAAATAAAACAATTGTATGTATTGTAAAAATTTCTCATTCAGGTTTATTATCTAAAACTGTTAAGACAATAAAAAACTAAATTGAAAAGGAATACTTTATTGCATAATAATTCACATTAGATATTAATTTTTGGAAAATTATAGAATTTAATATGTAGAGAATAATACATAATTGTAAAAACAGCATGTCTTCAAATGTATTTCAGTATTCATTTGAAAAATTTTATATTACATTGCTCATCCTGTTCAAACACAGGTACAAATGCTGTGTTTGAATTTTGTACTAATCTATCATTTAGTACAAGTTTTGAAATTATTCTTCTAGGCTAACAAAACATTATACATTTATTTACTACAAGCTTATGAGCTCATTTTTCAAGCAAAGGACTGTGTAATATCTAAGCAACAAGTACAATGGTAACAATGTATATCATTACATGTAACAATTAGTTGTTGTCATGAGTGAACACAAAAGGTGGTAGTATACACTAATTAATCTTTAAAAGATTGCACTAATTTTTGATGTTTCATTTTCTTGTTCCTGCTCATCAGAGTTGAAAATGTTCCCTACCTGGAAAAAAGGTCATATATTATCATGGAAGCTTGAAATAAATAAATATATAATATGAATTAGCCAAAAGTTTGGCATTACTATTTAATATTCCAATAAAGTTGCTATTCTGTTATGTACATTTGGTTAGTCTGTTATTTTTTCTGATTTCAAAAACATATTTCAATTTTAGTGTAAGTATATACTGAGAAACTTTTTTATATAAGGAGGTTCTGGATATCCTAATTAGGCCGTCTTAAAAGGTACAGTTATGAAAAGTGTGCATGTTATTTTATCTTAAGAAAGAATTCTTGAATATATCTTGTGGCTTTAAGAATATTGTGAAATAGCCATCAATAAATTATTATGATTGCTTTCTAGAAATAATTTTAATCAACTCTATACATTTTCTGTATGCCACTGGCTTGTGCCTGAAGTGTATATAAAACATTATTAATCTATTTCTGTTCTTAGTTCAGTTTTTATGTCCTTGTGAACATAGATTAACATTAAAACATTTTCAAATTTTCAACTACATTCAAATGCTACTTATGAAATAACTCAACCATGGATAATCTTATACTATTAACATATTCTATTGAAACGTTTCTCTGATGTATAAATCGGATTTCCTGTTTTTTTCAGAAGCACAACAGCAGCCTTTCATTAACCTTACAACAGATGTAATCACAGATTTACCTGTGGAACAAGAAGCTGGAAAAAATATACAATTAGTTGTAACAATAGCTTCTTCTCTTACACCAAACCAGTATGAAATTTACTGGGAAAAGGATTATAATCTGCTTACTCCTAATTCTCGGCAAAATATTTCTACATATGAAACTCAGACTGTTTTGACAATTAATAATCTGAAAAGGGAAGATAGTGGTGTCTACACTGTGTTTGGAAAATCTGAGAATTTGTTAGCAAATATATCAATCACTTTGCAGATCAAAGGTAAAACATTTTTTATTTTTTGTTCTATCTGAATTTTCAGCTAAATGTAAAAAAAGAAAAATATTATAGAAATTTTTCTTGTGCATTGATTGTCTCACATCAGAGTAAAATGAAAATTTCAGTGTACTGTCTTAGTTTTCCAATTTAAAAGAACACTTTTATTTTAGAAAAATTAAACATTAAAACTTACTCGTGAAAATGTATAAATATAGTGTTAAATGTTCACTGTAATTGTTTGTTTGATTTTAGTTAGTTTGTCAATATATGGGAAATAAAGAACATAGTATTATCTTGTTTACATCACAGTACTGTGCATGGTCACATGGTATTTTTCAATACATATTTTGAAATATGCCTGAATGACATCTTTGACATGTTTTGGTTTAAGTTTTTGAAATCATAAAAAAATCAATATTCACCTAAAGTTTTTACAATTTCAGTGAATGAAAAATGGATATGTGGTTAAAGTTAAAAATTAGAAATAAATTATTTATGCAGTGGTAATAAGCAAAGTGTTGTAAGTTATATTTTAATATTTTAATTTAGATGTTTGTTTAGCAGAGAGAGCATGATGCAATATCTAAGAATTTCATGAAAGTTCAAATCCTAGAAGTTGCATGTAGTATGTAAAAATAAGAGTATGATATAAATACCAGTCTCAGTGAAGTATTCAGTTAACTCATTAGTGATTCAGTTCATTGTTAGAAGTGAGATTTAGTACATATGTTTGTTATTAATTGATTAGTGAGGTCTGTATATAAGTAAGTTAGGTATACGTATCACTAGTCTTGTAATTTTTGTCTAAATAGTGTTTATTAACTTGGCCTACAAGTGAACATAGTCTGTATTATAGCAAATGTTATTGAAGAAATATATTAATTCATTATCATTATGTGGAGCAGACCATCTAATCCAAAAGATCACATACAATGATAGAACACCTTATAACAATAGTTGTGCATGCTAAGTGAAAAAAATAAATAAGTAAAAATGTTATGATCTAGAACTATGACATGTAAGCAACATATTTTGAAAAGTATTCCTGTTTTTGTAAAGATTTGATATTTTTTCTTGGCCATTCCTGTAATTCTCTCATCATCCGCAATTAGTTGGAAGAGTGACTTTTTATGTTGCACTTATATAGCTGGAATGAATGTAGGTCTGTAGAAAGGTCATCCTGTCTATAAGAATGGATTCATTTTTACTGATGAGACCTTTTCATCTTATTATGTTTTTATTTAAAGACAATCCATGTTATTTTTGTATGATAAAACAAGTTATGTAAATGACCGTTTACATTAGATGCCAGCTCCATGGTAAAACTAAAGGTTCTTGTTTAACTTTTTCTATTTAAACTTTCTAGTAAACAGGTAATTATGGTATCAAGCATAAATTTGATGTTTTAGTGAGTGACTTGCTCAAAACTAAAAGCAAAGGGTGAATCAAATAGTCATGCTTGATACAATGAAAGATTTCAGGGATCACTATTCTTAGATGGTATTGATATTTTAAATTATAAAACTTCATCTCATTTTAAAGTAAATGTTGATGTTTAATTACAGCATCAATTTCATAACTTTTGTAAAAACATGAAAATATTTTGGAACACTTATCAAACCTTTGTTAAAGCTCAAGTAACTGTTTATTTGAGTTACTGTAATAAAATTAAACAGAAGTATCATCTTTTGAGTGCATAACATAATGTGACCTTCATTGAAAACATTGGCTTCATACAGGATAATGAATTTAACATTTTTTCATAATAACAATAAAAAATTACACTTAGTTGAACATATGACTCATTAAATCTTAGACTATTACTCACTGCTATCGTAGAGTAAACTTGGACTGTATGCATTGATAAAATAGCTATTTACCAAAAAATGTAAAAACAGCTGAGCTGTAAATATTTGATTGTGCTCATATTACAAAAATATATTTCAGTGTAGTAATCTTAAAATCATGTTAATCAAAATTCATTTTAAATTATATTATAATGACAGTATTTCTGAAAGTATTATTTCTCTTAAGAAAGGTTTAAAATGAGAATCTAGCCAACAAAGTAAAAGATGAGTATTGAAAGAAAATTTGAAAATGTTTAATGATTTGCTTTAATTTTTTAAAGTTAAGTACAAGCTTATTTTCAAATTCAATCTGTGCATTCAAAAAGATTAAATTAATTTTTGGAGGATTTGATTTTACAAGATCCTGTATAACAAAAAACAAGACAAAAATCTATATATATTAAAATGTTGTTTGGGGTACAACTCATCTGTGATGAAAAAAAATTTGGGTGTGGGATTAGATCAACATGAAAGTATACTTTATCTTTATTTAAAAATTATTATCATAGTTTTATAGCTATTTTTTTATCATAGTTTTGAAAATTGGAAGTCAGATATTCCTAATAATTATTCTCTTAATCTTTCCTTTAGCAAAGCCTATTGTCACTATTATGAACCAGAAAGATTTCTACATGTTGCAGAATCATTATGACCTAATATGTAAGGTCATAGGTTATCCACTTCCACAAGTCAGTTGGTTTTGGAAATCCTGCAGTGATGTGAGAAATTGTAGTTCTGATAGCGTCGATGGCTGGACTGATGTCCCTGTTCAAACTACCTTGCAGAATGAAGGTACAGACACAGTTGTGCTGCACTTAGATGCAACTGCTAATGTTTCTGGTTACTACAGCTGCATAGGAAGAAATTATCTTGGAGAAAGTAAAGCAATTTCTTCATTTTTTGTATCTGGTAAGTATGGATATGTGCCTTTGTATTGTGTCAATTATCAATAAGGTTTAAGTATACTATCACATGGTTGTTACTGCTATTAACTTTTATAATTAAAATGTTAAAAGAATAAACATGTGGCATTTTTGGAATTAGAATAAATGTTCACTTTCAATGGCATAGAATAAAGCATACTATTAAAAAGTCTTATTCTAGATCCTGTATATCAGGTTTGGTAAATTAATTTTCTACATTTGGACATTATAGGTTACGGCTTATGTAGGTGAGGATAAGGATGTAGATTTGGAGTATTTCAGTTTTCAGAAAACATTTAACAAAGTGTCACATAAAAGGCTTGTAAAAAATTTATCTCTATAGGTGTGGGGGATAAGTTAGCTAACTGGATAGAAAAGTGTCAGGATGGAAGAAAGCAGAAGGTTGTTTAAATAGAGTTTAGTCAAACTGAATGAATGTCACATGTGGGGTACCTCAAGACTCAATATTAGGACCTTTGCTCTTCTCAGTTTACATCAATGAGAAAGATAAAGGAATGGTCAATAAATTATTTAAATTTGCTGATGATATTAAGGTCTTTGGTGTTGCTGGTTGTGAGAAAGATGTTACTGCTTTACAAAAGGATTTAATATCATTTAAATGGTTGGGCAAATAAATGGCAGATAGGTTTCCATTACAATATATGCATGTGGGTTATCATAATTTGAATTATAAGTATAATTTGGATGGGAATAACCTTAACAGCATTATAGAAGAAAAGGATCTTGGTGTAGTGGTTTATCAGTCGCTTTTGCCATCCAAGCAGTGTGCTGTTGCTAGTGGTAGGGCAAATAGAATTTTAGGTTATATCTACAAAAATATTGAATACAAGCCTAAAGAGTTTGTAATATTATTGTTTAGGTCACTGGTTAGGCCATATTTGGAGTATTGTGTTCAGTTTGGGGTCCTTACTCTAAGAAGGACATTGAATTGTTGGAAAGGGTTCAGAGGAGGACTACAAGAATGATACCTGGAATGGAAAGATTGTTATATGAGGAGAGGTTAAGATCTCTGAAATTGTTTTATCTTGAGTTAGAGAGGATTTGATTTAGGTGTTTAAGATTGTTAAGAGAAGTGATAGTGTTGATGCATCATCTTTTTTTCATATTTAGTGGTGTGAATGGTAGGACGAGGGGACACAAATATAAATCTTGGCAAGTTTAGAGTCATCTTCAGCTCAGACAGTTTTATTTTTCTAACAGGGTAGTTGGCCTTGGGAATGGGTTGCCTTCAGGTGTGGTGGAGGTAGTAAATGTAAGGCTGGCTTTGAGGGTCATTTAATAATTTTAGTTTAGTGGATGGGACAGCCTAGATTGACCAGTAAGCCCCTTGTTGTCCCTAAATATTTTGTTATGTTATAATGTATAAACATTTTCTAAAGCTTGTTGAAATATTGAAATTTTGAATATTTTTATCTGCAGAAATTTTCTTTCATAGATAAGTAAACACTTTTTATCTAATAAAACGTTGCATAAACAAGTTCTTGTTGTACTGTTTTTGCAAAATCTAACATTTAGTAGAGTAATTATTTTGTTCAAAATAATTGCTGTTTATCATTTGTTTAATTGTTTAGATGCCAAAAATGGATTTGAGATTACAGCTGACCCTCCTGAACCTGTTGAACAAGATAAAGTTACCTTAACTTGTCTTGCTAACATTTTAAGTTATACCAATTTGAGTTGGAGATGGTACTCTATGAATCATGACTCAAATGATGGTGTTAAGATGAATAATCAAACAGGTTTGTAATATATTTAAGGAAATCACAGTGCTTTACCAGCTTTATATTCTTAGTCTGGTTAATACACTTGTGTTACTTATGGCAAATATTAAGCTTTTAAATAAGAAAATATGAAAAACTGGTTTGAGTAAAACATGTATATTTTTTGGGATTATACTTCACATAAAGATCTTTTAATCTTAGTTATGGTTTAAAAATTAATCTTAGTTCACCTATATATATACACACAGTTTTATCTTTGAAAAATTACTTTGCACAAAACAGTTTCATTTAATACTTAATAGTATGGTTAAGTAGATAAGTGACTATTGGATCTAGATTATTCCCTTGTTTACATTAGCTAATATTTTACTGTAGTTAAAGTAATATCATAGTGTATTCAAATGACTTGGTGTACCAAAATGTATGATACTTTTATATTATTCAAGAAAAAAAGCATATAAGATGGTTTACTGTCTCTTGGTCATTAAATGTACAATGTACAGTACTAAAACACATCAATACATAGTTTTCTTTAAAGAACATTTGTTGAGATTGTTAGTTATTATAAGGATGCTTTGAGTGGCATATATTTTTATTGTGATTGCTATATCCCTGTTTTTCAAAAGGTGTTTTTGGTTTAAGTTTAATTCATTGTACTTTTATTTACAAAATTTCTAATTTCTTTGATTACTTTTATACCAAAATACATAAAATACAACAAAAACAACCTTCGAAATAAATCTTTACCGACAACATATTGAATACTGTGATTTCTTAGGATGTTACCATCCTCATCATAAAACAATAGGATGAAAGGAAACAAGATTAAGATAAGACAGGTTAGGCTCCAGTTAAGACAGTTTTATTTTTCTAAAAGGACGAGTGGCTTATGGAATGAGTTGCCATTGACATTAGTGGAGGCGAGAACGAAGATTTAGAAAAATAATGAATAACTTTGTAAAAATGAAAGGTGGTTTTAAGTTTTTACATTTTTTAAGAAGGGTAGGTGAGTAGGGAAAGCCTTGAAATGACTAAATGATCCCTTGTTGGCATAAGTTATGTTAATATATCCTTCTGGTTTAAAACATAGGATCTTGCTTATGCTATGAACTTAATATGTTCTTTAATATGAATAGAAAAGTAGGTCCAACATTCACAATGAGGATGGGAGTATTGATAAGAATCAATAAAACAGATTTAAATAAGACTATTTTATTTATTTTTTTGCTACAATTAAGATTAAAACAGTCTTTTAATGTAAATTACAGTAATCTTTTACTTAATTGCCCTTGAAACCAGAGACAATCTTAATTACTAAAAGTCAGATGAAACACATTATAGGGGGATTAAATTACAACTATGTATGAAACACCCCATTACAGCACTGATTTCCTTGTTTTAGTTTTATTACCCAAAATAACATTGATATATATTATGAATCATTTTGGAATTGTAAATTGCATTAATTTTATTTGTTTGTCATTTAACATTTGATGTTGCTGAAATCCAAATCATTTCTGCTAACTTGTGAACTTGACTAAAACCTGGCTGATGAGATAGAAGTGTTTATATATTTTTTTGAGAAATACTTTTCAATAATATCTTTTTTTACATCAAATATTTGTGTAAAATATCATAAATAGATCTAATTAGGGAAAGAGTAATTAACAAGTTACATCTGATTTACATGAAATAGTGAATTAGGGTTTCTGATTAATTCAGTCATAATTTTTTATATCTTAGTACTTGCACAACTCTAATGTCAGTGGTGCTTCATTATTATTATATGTTTTGTTAATATGCACTTCAATGGATATATATACATAAAAATGACTTTAGTTATAAGTATTTTCACTAATTGTTTATCTTTGGGCATTTCATATATAAACAACAATTCTCAGGCTTAGATTTATCTTTTCCACACTGGGATTTTCACTTGACAGAGTCAGCTTGTTTGGCAATAAGCCATTTATATTCTCAACAAATGTTAAATATCTTGGAAAAAAGAAAATTGAACTCTACCAATGAAGTAAATCCTCTTATATTAACAAAATGAGCTATATGTTTGAAAAAAAAAGTTCATAACAAGTAGGTGTTTTAATAAAACTATATTTCTTACTGAATGTGGAATGATCCAGAGAGTTATATTTACTTTTTTTAACTTCCATTTATTGATTTCTCTTTTCAGGCATTTCAGTAGTTTTTGCAAGCTCACAATATTCCCATACTTTGACCATGGTCTTTGATCCTATTGCAATAAACAATAGTGGAGTCTATGAATGTTGGGCTTGGCATAACAATACCCCAGAAGTCAAACAGAAAAAAGTCACAAACTTAGTAGTTAGAGGTAAGTCAGGGAAGACAGAAATACATTCAAGTCATTGATTTGAAATAATTAAAGAAATGTCAAAGATACTTTTTTTTTTGTAGGCTCCAGTTAAAAACAAAAGTAATGCATTTAAATGTGAAAAAAGAAAGTCATGATGATTCAAAAATTATTGGGTGTCATTTTACACTGGTAATGTAAATCAAGCATGTATAGAAACTACAGTGTCATTTCCTTTTGTAGTTAAAGATTAATATATGGTTACTTTTCATTGTCTCATGCCTTCATTAATTTGTATCTGTAGCCTGTGTGGTTTCTTTTACAGAGGGTTTATTATATTATATTAAAACAATTTTGAATATAGAAGTAGACATTCTTGTGTCATGTAGTTTTTGTAAGTAGAAATGTCTAGAAATGAGGGGATCATGTTATGCTACTTAACTTTTATAAATTTGTTTCATGCGAGTTTTAATATACATATAAATAATTGTGTAAATAGGCTATAACTAGGAAATGTGTGTATTCTTTATGTTAAGACTTGGATATTAAAGTTAATTTGATTCAGTACAATATTTATCATTTTTATTACAAGTAAATATTCCTACCTTATATTGATTTTAAGTATAGGGTAAAGATTCAATTAAAACTTATATTATTGTTATTGTGTAAAAATATATTTTTAATTAATTTTGTTTGTAAGATCTTCAAAGATGAATAATAAATATTATAACAAATTAAACTTTCTGGATACTTATCACAGTGCTGTTATTTCATGTTGTTATCATTACCACACAAAATATATAACAGAAGATATCTGTTGAGCTATCTTCGTAATACTATGCATGTAAATCTTTGCATTAAAAATAGATCTCTCTCTTTCTCTCTGTAGATTAAATATAACAGAAGATATCTGTTGAGCTATCTTCGTAATACTATGCATGTAAATCTTTGCATTAAAAATATATCTCTCTCTTTCTCTCTGTAGATTAAATATAACAGAAGATATCTGTTGAGCTATTTTTATTATATTGTGCATGTAAATATTTGCATTAAAAATAGATATCTCTCTTTCTTTCTGTAGATTAAGAGTTTAAAAGAATATTAAGTTTGGTTTATTGGTTTGTTGATTTTTGCACAAAGCTGTTTGAGAACTGTCTGCAATAGCCATCCTAATTTGTAAGTGATAAACTATAAGGAAGGCAGCTAGTTAAAGCCACCCACTGCAGATTTTTGGGCTACATTTTTACAAATGAAAAGTGGGATTGATCATCGCATTATAATCCTCCCATGACTGAAAGGGCGACCATGTTTGATAATGGGATTTGAACCTGTGACCTGCTAATTGTGAGGCAAGCACCCTAACAACCAGGCCTCACATTATTAAATAGAGATGAAGGGAGGCATATTGAGTGTTTTCCTTCTCTATATTTTGCAGTTCATAAGAGACCCACCTGCATCTAGATATTTAATACAATGTAAATTATCTAACATTGGTTGAAGTAATTTCTTCCATAATGAGTCTTCTGCCATGTTGTTTTGTCATTTGCTATTGCAATTATGTTTTCGATATGGTACATTACCTCCTATCCCCATTCGGTGCTGGCCTTTATATATAAAAAAAAGTTTTACACATTCCACAAGCCTTTTAACTCCCCTCAGTTGGAAATGACTGATTCCAATGCATCTATTATGCAAATCATCATGTGACAACCCTCCACCATGCTCTCTTGATGCATGTGACTTACTCTATTCAATTCTACCAAACTATCACTTCTCATTTGGCAGCACTTGTATTCAGACATTTTTTGCTTTTGTTTTTTTGTGTGCTTCACACACGTAAGTTTAATAGTTTCAATTCCAAAGAGGGATTTCTTCATTAATTTTTTTCATTATATTGAAAATGCCTTTTACTTTAACTTAATTTCCCAGTCTTTTTTCTTTCTCTCACATTTGCATTTGTCTATCAAATATTTTTGTTTGATTCATATTTCTGAAATGAATTCTGAGGTTCATGTTACCACTTCGGGTATCATACCTCCTATAAGCACTCATTCACAGGCTGCTGGTGGGGGAGATTCGTTATTGGATTTATCAGCAATTATCTGCAGAGAGATTGATCGTTATTTGGGTTAACTACCTTCTCCTGAACATGCCCACTTCCTTCTGAACAAGCTGAACCTGTTTGGACCAATGAAGACTTTGATAGCTTTTTTCCACTACCAGATTTTGCTGTGTCTTTCTATGCCCCACCTGCAGAATCAGCTTGGCCTAATACAGTATTTTTAGACATGATTTCTCAGGTTTGTGATATTTTATCTTTCTTCGTTGCATGATAGCATTTGCTCTCTGTATTTAGTTTTCCCACCCTTCCCAGATATTAGGGTTCATGCTGAGAAATTTGCTTGAAAATTGGTTGAGGGTGCCAGCATGCCTCACCGTCCATGGGCTATTAATCAGTTTACTTTGTCTTACCATCAAGCTGACTGTCCATTTCTCGACTCTCAGCAATGGGGGTCAATTTTACCTGTGTGGGAGGCAGTCCCTGATTTTCCTGTGCAATTATCCATGCCTACTTTTCCTGCCTTTTTCATACCCTTACTTCCCTTCTACGGAATTTATCTACTATCCATTTTCTTTCCAAGGTAATCCACAGTGATTCTGAGAGTTTTTCGAGGGAAAGCTTCTTCCTAATTACCTTCACATTGGCTTATTTGTCATCTTCGATTCTCGCTTTACACACATGTTTTCTCTGTTTTTTCGGATCTCCTTGGTCGAGATGCAGCCTTGTCTCAGGTTAGATAACCACCCCCTTATCTTAGGGATTTACGAATGGTCCCTTTTCTTTGGTAGTATGTTTTTGGTGATGTACCTGAGACTTTGGAATAACATATGGAGTCTCTGCATCAACACAATACCCTTTCCTCTTTGGTTGCACGTTTGTTGCAGGTGGAGCTGAGACAAGACTTATTCCTGTTTCCCATCCTAGCCCTTCTCAGCCTTTACCTCTTCCTCCTTCCAGGGGTTCCTCACCTCATCGTTTTATTTGACATAGATGAGCACGTTGGCAACAGTACTGATGACTACTCAGGGGGTTCTGGTCCAGTTGGAGTTTGCTTGTATGGATTTTTTCCCCATTGGCGACCTTTTGCCACAGATCCCTGGGTTATTTGGGTTTTATCCGAGGGACTTGTCCTACAATTTCTTTCACCCTTTCCTTTGTCTTAGGTACCCATTTCCTTCCCCATGCCTCGGGATCCTATTACCAGTTAGCATCTGTCTGAGGTGGTACAAGACCCTCTGTCTCAACAGGCCATCAAGCCTGTCCAACATCTTTCTCCAGTCTTTTATTCCAGGCTGTTTGTTGTCCCCAAGAAAACTGGAGACTGAAGGCTTGTAATAGATTTGTCCCACCTCAGTCAATTTCTTAGTCTACCCCATTTTTCCATGGATCATTTCTCACATTCAGGTGGGATTTTTCTCCAGGTTTGTGGATGACAAAGTTGGACGTCGCAAATGCTTACTTGCATATTCTGATATTTCGTCAGTTGTGACCATATTTTCATTTTGTTCATCACGGGGTGGTTTAC